GACTGCAGTTGAAACTTGGGATCGTACTGGACTCCAAACAGGCAGTTTGAAATGCATTTACAAACTGCTTTCGTGACTGCGCCCTAGTTACCCCATTAAATAGAATACACAGCCATTATCACTGTATCTACTAGACTGAAAGTTACCCCAAATACGGCTATGATGAGCATATTACGTGCCATTCGGGGAAGAAGAGCCTGGGAGTAGGGGGCCTCTACCACATGGCCAAGTGCCGAAGGTGACTCTCATGTGTCTCTGTAATCCAGCCTTTTTTTTTTTTTTTTTTTTTTTTTTTAAGAACAACCCGAGCGGTAGAACACTTAGCCCCAACAAACAACAGTCAGTGCACTTGTTGGTTTTAAATTTTAAATTATGAGCCTTCCCTTTTTTTTTTTTTTTTTTGTCCCAATTGATGGACCATGGGGTGAAGGGTGATTGGCTGGCAGTTACAATGCTCTCTGCATCTTGACACGTGTCATTACCCCTTTTGTTGTCTGCTCATCCAATCATGCCTGTCATTCTCTCTCCTGTCTCCTGCCTCCTTCAGCATATTAATCTCTAGGCTACCCAGATGAATAGGGTGGGTGGGTGGGAGGGGGGGGGGACCTAAAATATCGAAAAAAGGAAAATTGGGGGGCTCTAGGTACGCGTGTCACTACACCTTTCGTTATCTGCTTGTCCAATAGCCTCGCTTCTCCCAAGGTGAGCCCCTGCCTCCTTCAGTACCATATTAGCCACATAGGGAAGATCCTGACAGAGATGCCATAATGATGGACCTGGGCCTAATGGGGCCATAATGATGGACCACATACTGGGCTGACATTAGTTGTCAATGGTGGAAATTCGCCGCAGGAAGATCATCATCGCCAACTTAGACACTATTTGGCCAAGCAATTACTTAATACTAGCTGATCACTAGTAGGTAGCACATATTTGCCAGGTCATTGAGAAGTCCATCATTGATGGGGCATTCACCCACTAGTACTCCAACATAAACTTGCAGCCAATCACTAGATATTACTACCTGGGCGAGGTCTCGCTTGCCCCTCCCATCTTCCCCCAAATACACACAAGGCACCATGATAACAAACGTCTGCAAGCTATGTTTCCGGTCTGGTGCAGCCAAACTGAGGATGTGTTGCGTTCGGGCGAACTTCAAGGTGGTAGATTCTTTTTTTTTTTTTTTTTTTTTTTTAAACATAAAGTCCAGGGTGTTGTAGAGGCCGGTTACAAGGCGGTAGATTCTTTGTTCTAGAATCTAGACTGTAGATTGACAGTGAGGAACACAGAATCTGAATCCGGGAAAGTGCATTTGCCCCTGGTACTAGCTTGGCAGACATTGTGAATAGCCAAGGGTGCCATAAGTACGTTTCAACAAAAGTCCTCTGCTGCCCTGGACCCCCTCCGCAGCATCTTGCATCCTGCAGCTGAGCAGTGCCTGGCAGTGCCTCCCAAATAGTCTTTGCCAACGTACCGTAGCAGTAGTACCCAATACTACCCATGCTCCAAAATAGGCTCAAAGGCCAAGATTATCCTGACATGGTAGCAGCTGTGGAAAGCTTTCTCCAGTGAATTTGGCCATCATACTGGCCACATGCATAGGAGTAGGTGTCCTAATGACAATAGACTTAGCTTAGGTTCTCTTCCATGATCTGGCAAGTCCTGCTGGCTTACTCCACATTGGTGGAGATGGAAGCTCAAATCCAGAGTATAGCTATGCTACAGTTTGCCGTATTCAATTTGAAAGATATTTAATTTGGTATTAATTCCAGTGATCATAGCAATAAGAAAATTTGCATGACAGACCTAATTAAAAAAAACTGTAAGAAAGACTGAAATGCTAGAATACCCCTAAAACACGTGGGCAGAACGGAACGCCGTTTTTTTGGAATGTGATCTTTCTGTTCTAGTACCCCTATCAGACAGGTTCATCAAATTTGTGCCCTACTCCTATCCCCGGACAGCTGGGCCCACAGCACTTTTGACCAAGTTTGCCCCTCTGCCGAGTTGCCCAACTTTGCAGTATGCCCCCACGGTAAGTTTCCTCCGTGTATCAGCTCGTTCTTCTCCCCCCGGCCACCGTTGAATCATAAATGGGGAAACTACGTTGGAGTCACAAAAATGAGTTATAATTGCAGTATGAGCCAAGATACAGTTTGCAATTGCAGTTTGGGCAATGTATAGAATGTGCAATCAGACTCGCGTTCATTCACACTTTACATGCATGCAAACAGTAGCGCAGCAAACTGTAGACATGCCCCCACTCAGTACTCAGAGATATGACAACCCAGATACGAGTTCACTTCCAATCATGGCTATGGCGACACAGCGCCCATACAACTCTCTGTTCGCATTCAATGGATCACCCTGGATATCCCACACGCGACTCTCTGAATACTCACACACACACACACACTGAACCCCAACTACAGCTATGGCGGCTAGGGCCGCCTCTACCCTATGGCTATGGCTAAGCTTCGTCTCTCTGCCCACTTCGTCTTCGGGCTCACTGCAGACCACCTCGCACAAGTCGCTGTGGCAGCGCTTCCGCATGGCTCACGCAGGAATGAATGAATGGCTGGGCGCTGCCTCTTGATTTATACTTCTGCAGCTCGTTGGTCTAGCCCCTTTCCCATGCCCGTAGTGCACACACTCCCATGCGGTACTTGCTTGACTGGACGAGAACTGCCTAGGACTGGGACTGCTGACTCAGCACGGGTAGACTCCACCACTTGCCTCACCACTTGCCCACTTGCCTCAGCCTAGAGGTGGGAAACTTCGAAAGGCCACTACTCGGACCTTCCGGAACGTCGTAGACTTGGCCTTTCGATACTGTAGCAGCTATGACCTTTCTGGACTGTAGCAGCTACGACCTTGACTCTTCGAGAAGGCTACAGCTACGACTTCTAGACCTGACTGGGACTCCTACTCGACAGGTCTACAGATCGAACCCCAACTACCTATGGACCCTACGACAACCTACCAACTGTTACAAGTACACAGGTCACGGGTTCAACTCTAGGGGTCGGCATAGATACTGTACACAGGTAAGGTGGGGACTAGGGATCGAGCCCTGGGATCTGCATCACCCACTGCGAACTGGTGAATACCGTTTCAAACGCAGCTTTATGGCCAGGTAGGGTGCCCGAAGTGTAATTGCCGACTGTATCTTGGCCCATAGTGTAGTTATAACGCGTTTATGTGACTCCCGTGTAGTTACCCCATAATAATATATTAATAAATTTGTTGTAAATTAGACAGAAATTCGTTTCTAAAAATGATAAAGTTGCAAGAAACTAAAATAAATTTGTTATAAAATTATAAATGTAATGACCCTGCTCAGGTTTCTAAGTCGTGCATGTTTGCTGGTCTGTGTTCCTGTCTGAGTGCTTGTTGGTCTGAGTGCGTGTGTGA